TACTTTCGTTATAGCAGATAAAAGAAGGACAAGAGTGTTATGAAGTTAAGGCAAGAAAGTTTCATTCTAAGGGAAACAACTGTCTGTTAATGCACTGCTCTGCTCAGATGAAGTGCTAGCACTAAATTATGTGAAAAGTTTATGATTTTTTTCTTTACTACACATAAAATGTTCTCCTTTTTAGGAATTTATCCTACTCTATGTCTCAAAAGGAGTCCCTGAGTGATGTGAACGGTTAAGCACTTGGCTACTAATCAAATGGTTGGTGGTTCGAATCCTCCCAGAGGCACATCAGTAAAGTGCTGGTGATCTACTTCTAAAAGATCGCAGCGTTTAAAAACCCAGAGAACAGTTCTACTCTGACACACGTGGGGTTGACATGAGTGAATTAAATCAATGGCAACTTTTTTTTATGCTTCAAAAAGGTATACAACAATCCCTTATCTTAAACCTATAGAGCCAGATGTGATTACAATTTTACATTTTAAAAAAGATAACAAGGTCCTATAAATTTTGTGACACTTCCAATAGAGTCTGAGGCATGAGCTCTTAATTAAAATTGTTACTATTCTTGCAGCAAAACATATAAATATTCACACTTCAATGCAATAAATAACCATGAATAGCTTCCCATCAGTTCAGGTCTGGTTAGATTGTATAACCATATTAAGTTACAAATAAATATAAAAATCTTTTAATTTTCAACGATGTTTGAATTTCAGAACTAAGGAAATATATAATATTAAATTAAACATGCATTGGAGCAAGTGAAGAAACATATTTCAATTTTAGGATGTAGTTGCTGGTAGGTCTACTGTCATTGGGACTAGCATGTGCTGTCTGCACTGTGTGGACCTTAGGATGTTAAGTGGCCTGCACAGACCTGCAGTAATCTGTTCTCTGGGCCATGCAAAGAAAAGTGTTGAATAAAGCTGAACCACTACATCTCTGCAATATCTGAATTTCAGTTACTTCCATAAAAAAAGACAGCTACTGCTTTCTAGAACTAGGATTCTAATACTTACCCTACCAGAAAAGAAAGTTGGTGTCTTTATGACATTAATGAAACAATAAATCTACCCACTGTGGACAAATAAGTATGAGGGTCCCAAGTGAACTGAGGTAGGAAAAGTCTGAGCAAAGATTCAGGGCATCAGCTCGACATATATTCACACCCATCACTGTTAAGTAAAATTGTAAATCTCACGATATGGAATTAGTAATCCACAGGTAATTTAGGCCAGTGATTCTCAGACTTTTTGGTTTAAGGAACCCCTTACACTCTTAGAAATGATTGAGAACACCAAAGATCTTCTGTTTATGTAGGTTATAACTATTAATACTTATAATTTTATACATTAAAAATGAAAAAAATTACAATATTTATTCACTAACTTTAAAAATAGCAATCATAAATGCATTGCATGTAAACATAATATCTTTTATGAAAAATAACTATATTTTACCAAAAAATAAAGAATGAAGTGAGAATGACATTGTTTTATGTTTTTGTAAATTTTTTTAACATATGGCTTAATAGAAGCAGTTAAGGTCTCTTATCTGCCTCTGCATTAAATCTGCTGTTATATATTGCTGTGATGGAACTACATGAAGATCTTCTGACTTACACAGTTATATAGTTGGATAAAGGAGTAGTATTTTGATTCTGGTGCAAAAAAAATGTGAATAAAACCGCAGTTGTTAAAACACAAATCAAGGCAGTGTGGGATCAAGCTGTATTCGTTTTCATGGTACTGCTTACCACCATGCATTCACAGTAAAAAACAACTGAAAACAACAACAAAAACTTAAAAAAAATTCTTTCTACAAATATTTTAGTGCCAAAATATATTGTTATTCTTTTTGCCATTGTGATTATTGTCTTTAACAGTTAAATCATTTATATTTATTCCTTTTGGTGATTTTAATTACCTCCTTACTGCTTTTTAGCCTCATTAAATTTCTCTTGAATTTCCTCTAGTAACAATTCTCTCAGTTGTTGTTTATCTGAAAATGACTTTATTTTTATATTTGAATCATATTGTTTCTGGATATACAATTTTTGGTGGTAAATTTTTCTCAACACTTTAAAATGTTATTCCATTGTCTTCCAGAGTTCACGTTTCCTGTTGAATAGTCAGTTATCAGTCATATAGTTGTTTCTTAGATATTCCATTTTTCTGTTGAAATTCTTCATCCATTTTTAAACTTTTCTTCTTAATATATTTTTAAATGGTTATTTTAAATGCTTGTCTGCTAATTTTCCAGTTGAATCATCTATGGTATGCTTCTATTAACTATTTTTCTTTTTATTCTGAGTCACAAATTCCTGCTTCTTATCATATATCATAATTATTTTATGAATGTTTCCCATTGTATATACAAGATCATAGAGCTCTAATCTGATATATTCCTTCAGAAACCATTTAATCTTTTCTCTATTAGGCATAAAGGGTTAAGAAGTACCATCTAAATCCAATCAGGTACTGGGTTGACTTCAGTCTGAATTGTAAATATCATAAGGCTCAAACTACTCTGGTTTTTTCCTTCCTTGTAGTTATGTTCTTTCCAGGTTTTGACTGTGACTCTGATGGATCTTTTTCTCCTCAGCCTGTGAGATTCCAGGGGATTTAGTTTTGTTCTTCAGAATTTTTGAGTTTATAACTGTAGCCTTCTTCCATCTCCCCCAGGTTCAAAAACATAACAAATTCCTCAAGCAGAAAACTGGCTTTATGTTTGTCCTTTTTAATTTAATGCAGCTAATCGAAATTCAATTATGAATACAATTATTAAGCAAAAAACAAATAAAAAATATCATAAAAAGAAAAATTTAAAACATCACAATATATAATCCAGAGAAAATTTTGGACCAGAGTTATTCAGACCCAAATGTACTCCCAAATTAGCAGGGAATTAGTTTCAATTTTGTATTTATCAAAGCAAAACATAAATTACATCAGTTTCATAACTGATGAATTATTATCATATATATCAAATAATCATATAATAAAGTTTTGGAACCCAAGTCTTGAACAACAGAAGGGTTATATGAGTTATACAAGAAAACAAGTCAGCAAATAATCTGGGTAGTGTAGTTGTTGGATAATAATGACACCAGCCATGAAATTATAAGATCAACATCTATTTGAGCCCAGGTCCAAAAAATATTCACTGACTGAGTCATAAAAATTAAGTCAAAATTTCAAAAATTGTGAAACTTGCAATATAAAAATATGGATATAGGTATAGGATATGTATAGTATATATATATGCAGATGCAGATACAGATGTTAAGCTGCTGTAGATGAACTGGATAGAGACCTTGAGTCAACTGGAACTGAGACACTCAAGAGTGAAAGAAGTCACAGGCATATTCACTGATACAATCAGTGAAATCTCTGAGGCTCTCGCTCTTGTTTCCTCACTTACCATATGTCAATCACCCCTTATTACACCTCTCTATCCATGTTCTTCATTCCTCAAGTTTTAAATCTCTGACACACAGTTTTTCTCTTCCATACAAAAGATAAGTATTCATATACTGGGTTTAAATATAGATATGTATTTCATAGGGCTTACAAACGTTTGAAAATTTTATCCATAAGTTAATTAATTTGAATCCAGGCTATCTAATGCCTGAGGCCATACTTTCAGCATTTCCAAGGCTACACTGTATGCTTTTCCATGAACTTCTCATAAACATTTATTGGATTGTCACCCAATTGCCAAACAATTTCCTAAATAGAAAGATAAGAAGAAATTCAACATAACCTAATAATCAACCATCTATTCCGAATACTATAAAATGGTGAATTTAGATTAAAAAATAGTTAAGCCAACAATAGTTTGTCCTCTACAATGAATAATTGAGGGCATTTTCAAACTAAGTAATAAGGCAATGAACATAAAACTTAAATCAACATGGAGCATAGGCTACATTGTTACAGACGAATAAATGTGATGGGAGTTAATTTATCTTTTTATATGAGGCAATTTTCCAACACATGTTGTTAGGTGCTGTAGAATTGGTTCCAACCTATAGTGACCATAAGTACAATAGAAGGAAACATTGCCTATTTCTGCACCGTCCTCACAATCCTTTCTTTGCTTGAACCCATTGTTGCAGCCACTGTGTCAATCCGTCTCATCAAGAGTCTTCTTCTTTTTCGCTGACCCTATACTTTACCAAGCTTGATGACCTTCTCCAGAGACTGGACCTTCCTGATAACATGTCCAAAGTACGTGGGATGAAGTCTTGCCATACTTGCTTCTAAGGAGCATTCTGGCTATACTTCTTCCAAGACAGTCACTCTTCTGGCAGTGCATGGCACATTCAGTATTCTTCACCAACACGATAATTCAAATGCATCAATTCTTCTACAGTCTTCTTTACTCATTATCCAGCTTTTGCATGCATATGAGACTTGGATCAGGCACACCTTAGTCCTCAAAGTAATGTCTTTGCTTTTTAACACTTTAAAGATGTCTTTTGCAGCAGATTTGCCCAATGCAATACGTCATTTGATTTCTTGACTGCTGCTTCCATGGCTGTTGATTGCAGATCCAAGTAAAATGAAATCCTTGACAACCTCAATAAATAGAGGAAAATAGCAGAAATCATTAGTGGTTCTGAGACCAGTGTACTATAGTCTGAATTTTTTTTTTTTTAATTTCAACATTAACAATGTACAATTAAAAATACAGGCCACACAAAAAGAATGTGTGCTTCCAAAATTTAAAGTCCTGAAATACATAGAAATAGTCCAATAAATGAGCAATTAAATATGTAATTTACAAAATCGTTAACTTTGGATAAAACAATCTAAGACATTTCCCTCCTGAATTTAGAACAACTAGCATACATGATTGAATAAGATGGCTTACACATCAAACACTTGGACTATCTATCAGGTAAGCTCCTAATTTTATACAATTATTTAAGCATTTGTGTTAGTTGAAGTGGTTTGAAAATACACAAAGCAATTTGCACTGTCCTTTACTTAGATCTTTCTCAAACTCAGAAATTGATTACTCAGTCTCCTCATTACCATCTTCATGTCCTTTTTCCTCAATGTGTAGATGACAGAATTCAAGACAGGAGTAATCAAAAAGTCCGAACCGGCAAGAAATTTATCCACTGACACTGTGAGAAATGGCCACACATATATAAATATACATGGTCCAAAGAACAAAACCACCACAGTGACGTAAGCTGACAAAGTAGAGAGGGCTTTGGACAAGCCACCTGAAAAGCATTTCCATATAGTGACCAGGATGGAGATGTAGGAGAAAATCAATAAGAAGGTTCCCATGGAAATGAACCCACTGTTGGCAGTAACCGTGAACTCCAGTTTGTAGGTATCTGTGCAGGCAAGTTTGATAAACTGAGGCAGATTGCAGTAAAAGCTGTCTACCTAATTAGGGCCACAAAAATGCCAATGGGCAACAAAAGCTAGCTGCGGCACTGTGTGAATGAGACCAATAACCCAAGCACCAACCAGAAGCCAAATGCACATCCACGGACTCTTGATGTTCAGCTAGTAGAGGGGCTTATAGCTGGCCACACACAGATCAAAAATCATGGCTATGAGCAACACCATCTCAGATCCACCCAGGACATGAAGTACAAAAATCTGGATGACACACCCCTGGAATGATACAGTGTTTTGCCCAGAGTAGAGGTCAGAGATCATCTTAGGGACTGCTAATGTAGAAAGACACAAATCAATAAATAAGAGACTGGCTAACAGGAAGTACCTAGAGGAATGTAAATGAAGGTCAAATATCACTGTAAACACAAGGAGATTCCTAAACACAATTGATATATATAAAACGGCAGAGCAGGAAAGAATAAAATGCTGCATTGGCCTAGAGTTAGAAAGTTCCAGGAACACAAATTCAGACATCACAGAATAATTTGTTATATTCATTGACTTGTTTGTGTTACCCAAAAGGAACAAAAAGAGACAGAGATGAACCAGAGCTATTGAAAGAGTCAGATGACATTTCGTTTTAAACTCTGATATTAAACAAACATTTTCAACAACTGCCAGAAAAGTCCTTCTGAAAAAACAATACATTAGTTTATTCATTTAACAAATATTAATTAGCAGCTACCATGAACACCTCATATAAACCAAGTATTATGTTACATTCTAGGATAAAACACAGACCCTGCCTTGATGTAGTTTGCTGTTTACTAGTGAACCTAGACATTAAGTAACTAATCACATAATTAGAGGATTATAATGGTGATAAGTTATGTGAAGAAAAAAACAAAGTGCTATGAGGACAATGAGAGTTAATAACAGTGTTATCTGTTCTGGTCTAAACGATGAAATTTGTGTTAAGATCTAAATGATGAATGGAAGCTAATTAAGTAAGAAGAAGTAGTAAGAGTGATCTAGGTAAAGCAAAACTCAGAAGCATGAAGAAAGAGGTCAATTTAGAATGAATAAAAGAAACCAGTAAGTTTCAGTACTAGAGGTCAATTTAGAATAGAAACCAGTAAGTTTCAGTACTAGAAGAACTTTATAGTATGTGTTAAGAATTTGGTGTATATGTTAGAAATCGCAAAAGCCGTTGAGGTAGAACAGTGAAATAGTCATATATGTGCTTTAAGAAACTTACAGTAGCTGTCCTCATGGTACTATGGTTAAGTGCTCAGCTGCTAACCAAAAAATCAGGAATTTGAACTCACCAGCAGCTCAGTGGGACAAAAGACCTGGCGATCTGCTCCCATAAAGATTACAGCCTATGGAAGACAGTGTAGTAGTCAGATGCTTCATAAAGTCCCTCTTACAACAAAGATCCAAGAAAACAAGTGAATTGAACATAGATGACAACTTTGGAACCCTGAGCATCAAAGACAAGGCTGAAGAGCAGAACTGAGTACCAAGTGGAAGGAGAGACAGTATAAAAACAGTGGACACAGAGAAATACAGATTGCCAGGGCCCTGTTAGTCAAACCTGCACAGCATGGCCATATTGAGACAAAGCAAGTAGCGTTCCCAGCCAAACCCTCATAACCTGGTGCAGAGAAGCAAGAGAGACCCTGCTTTCACATTCAGAGCCAGGCAGGAGTGATTCTTGCCCTGCGAAAGTTAAGTGCACACACCCCACTCACCACAACCAGCCCTGCCCCCGTACCAGAGGCCTATGGGCCTATGGGCTCCACTACCCTCTTCACCCAAGTGAAATGAAAACTTATTTTAACACATAAATCTGTACATGAATGTCTATAGTGGATTTATTCTTAATCACTAAAAATTGGAAACAACCTAAATGTCCTTCTATGAGGAGTGGATAAGCAAACTGTGGCACATCTGGGCAATGGAATACTACTTAACAATAAAAAGCAACTACTGATACATGCAACAACGTGGATGGCTCTCAAGTGCATTATATTAAGTTTAAAAAGCCAGGCTCAAAAGGCTCCATACTGTATGATTTCATTTTTTTTACCTTCTGGTAAAGGCAAATCTACAGGGACAGAAATCAGATCAGTGGCTGCTTGGAGCTAGGTGGAAGGAGCAGTTAACTATAAAATATCACAGGAGAGTTAGGAGGGTAATGGAACTGTTCTACATCTTGGTGGTGTGGCTGTTACCCAAAAGCGTGCATCTAACTGTAGAACTGTATACTTAAGAGTTGGAATTAAATTTTTTAATTACTTCATTGCATTGCAAAGATTTTATTGTTTTTCAAGACTCAGAGAAATCATATACTCTCTCAAACAAAACAAACTCTCCTTTAAAAAAAAATCCTTCCCCAGATGTGACCTCTTTTATGTCCTTCACTTATTAGCTATGTGACTTGGGAAAATCACTTAGCCTCCTTTAGCCAGTTTTTTCATATGTAAATTATTCTATGGATTATCATGATTCTATGAAAGAGTGCCTGGACAGTGTTTTGTACCACCCAAGCAAGTGACTAATCTTTATGTTCCCAGATTGAGATGTTTTTGAACATTAGAACTCAGGTCACAATAATGGCTGGTAGAGTGAATATACTCATTTAAATACTTTGAGATCTAGAAATAAAAGGGATAAACCAAATAATGCCCCCACACATCCGTCAGTTTGTTGTACTGTGGGGACTTGCGTGTTGCTGTGATGCAGGAAGCTATGTCACTGGTATTCAAATATACCAGCAAGATCACCCATGGTGGACAGGTTTCAGTGGAGCTTCCAGCCTAAGACAGACTAGGAAGAAGTGCCGGCAATCCTAGGAAGAACTGGTGGTCCACTTGTGAAAAAAATTAGCCAGTGAAAACCTTATGAATAGCAACAGAACATTGTCTGATATAGTGCGTGAAGATGAGCCCCTCGGGTTGGAAGGCACTCAAAAGATGATTGGGGAAGAGCCACCTCCTTAAAGTAGAGTTGATCTCAATGAGGTGGATGGAGTCAAGCTTTCAGGACCTTCACCTGATAAAGTGGGACAACTCAAAATGAGAAGAAACAGCTGCAAACAACCATTAATAATCAGAACGTGGAATAAAAGAATTATGAATCTAAGATAATTGGAAGTCATCAAAAATGAAATGCAAGGCATAAAGATCGATATCCTAGGCATTAGAGAGCTGAAATGGACTGGTATTGGCCATTTCGAACTGGACAATGATATAGTCTACTATGCCAAGAATGACAAATTGAAGAGAAATGACATTGTGTTCACATTCAAAAAGAACATTTCAACATCAGTACTGAAGTACAACACTGTCAGTGATAGGATAATATCCATATTCCTACAAACAGACCAGTTAATATGACTATTATTCAAATATACATACCAACCACTAAGGCCAAAGATGAAGAAATTGAAGACTTTTACCAACGTCTGCAGTCTGGAATTCAGCAAACATGCAATCAAGATGCACTGATAATTACTGGCTATTGGAATGTGAAAGTTAGAAACAAAGAAGAAGGATTGGTAGTTGGAAAATAAGGCCTTGGTGATAGAAACGACACCGGAGATCACATGACAGAATTTTTCAAGACTAATGACTTCTTCATTGCAAATACCTTTTTTCATCAACATATACGGCAACTATACATGTGGACCTCACCAGATGGAATACATGGGAATCATATCAACCACATTCATGGAAAGATGCTGGAAAAGCTCAGTATCATCAGTCAGAACAAGGCCAGGGGCTGACTATGGAACAGACCATCAATTGCTCATAGGCAAGTTCAAGTTGAAGTTGAAGAAAATAAGAACAAGACTATGAGAGCCAAAGCATGACCTTGAGCATATTCCACCCGAATTTAGATACTATCTCAGGAATAGAGTTGTGCATTGAACACTAGTGATCGAAGACCAAACAAGTTGTGGAATGACATTAAGGACATCATACATGGAGAAAGTAAGAGGTCATTAAAAGAAAAGAAAGAAAGTGACTAAATGGATGTCAGAAGAGACTCTGAAACTTGTTCTTGAAAGTAAAGCAGCTAAAGCAAAAGGAAGACATGATGAAGTAAGAGAGCTGAACAGATAATTTCAAAGGGCAGCTTGAGAAGACAAAGTAAAGTATTATAATGACATGTGCGAAGACCTGGAGATAGAAAACAAAAAGGGAAGAACACGCTTGGCGTTTCTCACCCTGAAGGAACTGACAAAAAACTCCAGCCTCGAGTTGCAATATTGAAGGATTCTACATGGAAAATATTAAATGACCCAGGAAGCAGCAAAAGAAGATGGAAGGAATACACAGAGTCTCTGTACCAAAAAGAATTGGTCAACATTCAGCCATTTCAGGAGGTAGCATATTATCAAGAACCAGTGGCACTGAAGGAAGAAGTACAAGCTATACTGAATGCTTTGGAAAAAAACAAGGCTCCAGGAATTGACGGAATACCAACTGACATGTTTCAACAAATGGATGCAGCATTGGAAATGCTCACTCATTTATGCCAAGAAATTTAGAAAACAGCTACCTGGCCAACTGACTGGAAGAGATCCATATATGTACCAATTCTAAAGAAAGGTGATCCAACCAAATTCAGAAATTATCGAACAATATCATTAATATCACATACAAGTAAAATTTTGCTGAAGATCATTCAAAAGCTATTGCAGCAGTATGCCAACACGGAACTGCCAGAAATAAAGCCGGGTTCAGAAGAGGACATGGAACAAGGGATATCATTGCTGATGTCAAATGGATCATGGCTGAGAGCAGAGAATACCAGAAAGATGTTTACCTGTGTTTTATTGACTATACAAAGGCATTGGACTGTGTGGATCATAACAAATTATGGATAAGATTGTGAAGAGTGGGAATTCCAGAACACTTACTTGTGCTCATGAGGAACCTGTACTTAGACTAAGAGGCAGTCGTTACAACAGAACAAGGGGATACTGCGTGGTTTAAAGTCAGAGAGATGTGCTTCAGGGTTGTATCCTTCCACCATATTTATTCAATCTGTATACTGAGCAAATAATCTGAGGAGGTGGACTATATGAAGAAGGCAACATCAGGATTGGAGAAAGACTAACAATCTGTGATATGCAGATGACACAACCTTGCTTGCTGAAAGGGAAGAGGACTTGAAGCACTTGTTGATGAAGATCAAAGACCACAGCCTTCAGTATGGATTACACCTCAACATAAAGAAAACAAAAATCCTCACAACTGGAGCCATAAGCAAGGTCTTAATAAAGGAGAAAAAATTGAAGTTGTAAAGGATTTCATTTTATTTGGATGCACAATCAATGCCCATGTAAGCAGCAGTCAAGAAATCAAACTACACTTTGCATTAAGCAAATCTGCTGCAAAAGATCTCTTTAAAGTGTTAAAAAGCAAAGACGTCCTTTTAAGGACTAAGGTGAGCCTGACCCAAGCCATGGTGTTTTCAGTCACCTCCTATGCTTGAAAGATGGACAACGAATAAGGAAGACCGAAGAAGAATTGACACCTTTGAATTATGGTGTTGACAAGGAATACTGAATATACCATTGACTGCCAGAAGAATGGACAAATATATCTTGGAAGAAGTACAGCCAGAATGTTTCTTAGAAGCAAGAATGGCGAGACTTCTTCTCACATACTTTGGACATGTTATCAGGAGGGACCAGACCCTAGAGA